TTAATGGATCATGAGTCTGTATTCATTTTTACCTGGAAAAAAAGTAAGAAATTCTCTCTTTTTCTCTTTCATACACAAGAAGAATGCAGTATAAATAAAAAGAAGGAAAATCAGAATTAGAATTACCTAAAATGATAAAATAAATTAAAATCTGTTGTGATCAGCATAATCAGTACTCCTCTCAGGGGGTATGGCCCCAAATCATATCCAGTTGTAGCTGACAGCACTGTATATAGTTGATTCCACATATGAAACTGATTCATCTGAAATTAAAGCTAGAAAAACTACCAACTTTACACACCTAAGCAAAGATGATGTTTATAATGAAAAAATTGATTTGTGCTAACATCTATAAATACCAGAGTAGAAAGCTAACATGGGGGCTGGAGTATTGAGAAAGACATTTAAATTAAATCAACTTGATCAACACAATGGTGTTTAATTAGAAGGAAGGGTATTGCATGTACTATATACAACTACTTTTTTCAATAAAAATATATTGATAATGATAAAACTATTTCAGTCCATAAATATTAAATAGGCTGTAGCTTTAAAAAATAGCTCTCAGACTATCTCTGTCATAAGGTAAATTTTAAATAAATATTTATGCAGACAATAGCAGAAAAAAGGCTTTTCTAAAGGGAATATAGTTCAGGGGAAAAAAATCATATTCCTCCATAAAAATATGCCTTTTGCTTCTTTTACAGCCATAAACTCAATAAAAATGGAAAGTGATGCAATCGAACATACACGAGAATTGCAGCCAGGGAAGGCCTGTCTCTATGATGGCCAAAAGAAAAGCCAATCGGAATTACATCACATGCTTTATATGAAGTCCATGTGGACATCAGGCACACTTCATTCCGTCTGAAAATTCTTCCCCCACTTACATCTGTGACACAACCAACACCCTGAAAAAACATTCTGCCAAGGAAAACAGCTTCTTTTTCACTGTAGATATGGCTCTCATGTCTAGAAAGTGATATGCTTATTATCATGCAGTTTGGGTTATGAGGTTTGTAATCCGTCAGAGGTTTATAAGAAAATGTGTTACAAATTCACAATAAAGGGGGAGATCTAAGACAGCAAAGTGGCGTTCTTTGGCAAACTCTGAAAACAGAGGGAGCAGCTAATATAGAAATACTGGAATCAGTAGATGAAAAATGTGTTAGACTAGGAACAAAGCCTTGACCAGAAAGAAGATGCCATCATTCTTTCCCTACCAGGAAAACAATTATTTATATGATACGTTCCATTCTCCAAGGCTTAAGAGTGCTCTTGAAGGTAACCCATGTTTCTCATGGCCTCTAGATTCAGTTTTCACAGTCCAATTCCTTTCAGTCTCCAGAGCTAGGATGGGAATTGGAGTTTCCAACAGAGGAGAAATGGACAGGTCAGGAGGTCTATCAGGGGCTCAGTTCTCTGGAACAACGTCCATGTACCAAAGAACTTGCAAAATGCCATGGTTTCTACCCTGGCCAGCTATGTCTGGTACCTCTGTCTCCACACAAGCTGAGATTCCAAAACTCTAATTTTCCATTTTTGCAACCGATCTTCCACCTTTCCAAAAATGTTCCATCATGGTTTTCCTATGATGTCATATTTGTAAAAACAATTTAGGTCTTCACTACTGCTTAATTTAATCATAGAGCTATCAAAAGGCCCTACCAGTTCCAACCATCTGCTTGAGATCAAAATGGAAGTGATGCCCTGCCATATGGCTATTTAAAATATTTCCTTCAACCTATATGCCTTATTCATTAGTGCAAGCAACATTCCTAGGTTTAAATAAGAAATCATGCTTACCTCTCAAAGTAGGAGAATTAAGAAAACTAAGTAATTAAAATAATGATACAAAGTGCGAGCAATAAATAGCATGATTCAATACAATAAGAACATTCCTTGAGTGGAAAAAATATAAAAAACTGATTCTCACGAATACTTTTTAGCTAACGTTTATCAGTCTATAAGGAATAGACTGAACAACATTGTAAGAATTCACTTTTATTTTTATTTCTTAGAAACTCATTTTTCCCATTAGATTACATATAATTATTATTATTATATTTAGTAATACTTCTTCAATAATAATTGTTTATAATTATTAGCTAATTTGATGAGCCAGGTACTTTACATTATTTCATTTAATGCTCATTTACTAATTCCCTTGAGCCACCCTCTAAAGTTGGTTCTGTTGCCCCCATTTTATAGAAGAGGAAAGTGTGGTCAAGTGACTTAAGTCACTCCCCGAAGGTCATGCAGCTAGCAAGGGCAGGCTAGAGAGACATTTGCCAGCGTCTGCTTTCGTCTTCAGCCTATGCTGTTTCCATCTTACTCTGCTTCTCCTCAAGTATTCTTCTGACTTGACCACTTTTGGAAGCATTACAAGTAACTAGCCATTACAAGCTAAATCTAACTCAAGGATTGATGGTCTGTCAGACAAATGAGGGCTAATAAAGGTCACAACTTGCTGAAGACAGTATAAATTTTTATTCACCTGGACTGAGTCCATAAGGAGAGGCAGAGTTTGCAAATTTCATGATATTTTCAGTTGTAGAAGCAGCTTGAACAATCTCCCATTGCTGAATGACAGGGTGGGGAGGAAAGGTTTAAGCCAAAACAATAATTTCCCCCAAAACTTCTTGAGTTCACTCATATCTATGCCTCTGGTCTTCATTCCCAGAATGACTGGGTACCACCGCAGGTCACCCTAATAGTGTGCTTGCTGCATCTCAACTCAACTCTCTGAGAGGGAGGGACTGCAAAAGGGAAACCAGAAAAGAGGACTGAACAGAGAAACCCATTCTTCACTTTGGGGCAGTCGCTGGTTACACTCAAATCCACTGAACATCCTCCTCATATCTCCACTCCTTGATCCACATTTGCAGTCATAACCTCAACGTCTATTTAGAGATAGAGAGCAGGCAGAAAAAAGCACAATTTTTGTGTTTTTTTCCTTGAAGAAACATACATGCATACACACACATGTGGATGAGGAGGTAAATGCTAGATATTATTTCCTGTCTATAATTTGCAAACACTCCAAGAAGAATGCACATATTTTGCAACTAATAAAAATCCATGTAAAACATTCTTCTCCTCTCTCCCACTGTCTACTCGAGGAAGTCTGCATTACTCTAACTGCTGCATTTTACAAGGCAGCAAACAAGATTAAAACCTGGAACAAGAACAGGAATGTTTAAGAGCAAGTGGTAGAAAAAGAAAATTTTTTTTAAAAATTTGATGTGGTTACTATTTTCAGAAGCAAAATAATTTAAACAGGAATGGACAAAAGCATCTTGAAGTTTTAAAAGACCTATTTGGGACTATTTATAAATTTAACAATTATGCATATGTAAAAATAATAGATATTTAGGTGCTTGGTCTATTACACCTCAGAGTTTAATTTTGAAAAATACAAGCCAAATTATTTAAAAACTGACAATAACAATATAAATTAGTGGAGCAGGTTACTCTAAAATATTTTATAAATATTTTATAATAATAACAGATAACAACAACAGTAATAATAATAATACTATCAACAACAATGTCTGACATTTGGCAAATATTTTCTTGAGATCAAAGAAGAGACTAAGTGCTTTAAATGAATAATCTCCTAGAATTATCAGAACAACCCAATGATGTAGGTACTTCTCTTATCCCTACTTCATAGGTAAAGAAAATGAGGTTTAGAGAGACTGAATAATTTGAGTAAATGGCAGCACTGAAACTGAAAACCATTTATGTCTTAAACACTATGCTAAAACCAAAATATCCTAATAAAATTTAAAGGAGTTATATTGGCTTAGAAAAGCAACACCTTTGAGACAATCACCTTCTAGGGAAGGGGAAAAAAATTAGCAATGATAGATGATACCAACTTCAAAAAAAATGCCAACTTTAAAAAATGGCAAAAATTTGGAAGAGGGTGGGCTATAAATATGTTAATTTTCAAGAAAGAGGAACAATGAAGGAACTTATTAGAAAAGCCTAAACCTCACAGTAAGTAGAAATTCCAAGCTGGCTCGGTGGCTCAGCCTGTAATCCCGCGCCTTTGGGAGGCTGAGGTGAGTGAATTGCCTGAGCCCACGGGTTCGAGACCTGCCTGGGCAGGCGAGTCCTCATCTCTACAATAAATCAAAAAATTAGCCAGGCGTGGTAGTGCGCGCCTGTATTTCCGGCTACTCGGAAGGCTGAGGCAGAAGGATCACCGGAGCCCAGCAGGTGGAGGCTGCAGTGGCCTC